CCCGAGGAATCGCATCGGAACAGTGTAAGCGTTCAAGCAAACCACTTCTGAAGATGCAAGCCACTCGTGCTTGCGAAACGTCAGGACGGTCTAAAAACCCGAAAAACCCATTAGTTTCAAGTAATGGCCTGGTAAGTCTATCTCCTTTGTCTAACATGCTGTTTTCCGCCTTTCTCAGGTATAGAATGTGGAGACGTCGGCTTCAATCTGAGTCCTCACTTGAACGTGGAAGTGATTTCCCGAAAAGTGGGCGGAGTCGCAAGATTCACTTGTGATAATGGATTCGATGTTCGAGGCCCCAACGAAACAGTTTGCCAGCCAAGCGGCGATTGGGCAAGCCCTTTCCCAACTTGCAAAGGTAGAATTACTCCCATTCTTCGCCCAATCGAGGACTTCTTTGGCATTTTTCGAGCAGAAATCAGGTGCGACGAGCCGAAAATGCCGGAGAACGGCTTCATCCAGGGATCCGGCCCGTACAGAGCTGGAGATACGATCCAGTTCAGTTGCAATCCCGACTACATGATAGAAGGACAGTACGTTATCGCGTGTCTGCAAAACTCCAATTGGAGCGGCCCAATTCCCAAGTGTTCGTCTTACAATTAAACTAACAACTAAAACAATAAAAAAAGCTTTTTTCCTTAGGTCTTCCGGCTTGTTCGTATCCGGGAACGACGATCAGCGGCCGCATGTCTTCAGTAAACTACTTCTATAAAATAGGGGATAACATAACGTTCACATGCGAAGAAGGGCTGATAATGCGAGGCGCTGCTATGCTCAAATGCTTGAAGAATGGAAAATGGTCGAACGCGATCCCAACCTGCCTTAGCCCAGATGGGGTCAGAAAGCGAGAAGCCTCCAAGTTTCAACTCAAATAACTCCGGAAGATACTCATAATAGTGAATCTACTGAATTACTGTAGATTTTACATCAACTCTTGGTGTTGTTCAGAGTTCAAGGGAAGATGCTCAACTTTACAATCTTCCCCACAAATATCATTAGAATTAGGCCTAGTTTGTACATTTTTAACTGCGAGTATTTGCCTAGAGTAGTCATGTTGCTGTATAGAGACACTATACTATGCAGAATATCAAAACAAGTAAACTAGAGAATATTTTGTTAGGCTTCAATTTCCGCAAGTTTTCGTGTTGTGCACCCCTGATTGGGGTTCGTTACCAAATTTTCTGCTCTTACTCACGAAAGTTGCTGTTTATTTTTAAAAATCTTGTTCAATAAACGACTTCCACCAGCTCGAAATCGCTTTCAGTCGCGAGCGACCCTCGTAACTATCAGGGCGCGACAAGGAAACAGTGGCTGCCATGGTTACCAGCCTGTTACGCATGCTGGCGTCCCTCTCCCACGCACAGCGAGGAACGACTGCACGCACTGCTAGACTTACGAGGTGCAGTCAAGAGTGTTGGTAAAATTTCCAATGGATTAAAGGGAAACAGTCCATCGAGTCTTCCTGTGGCTTCTCTTGAAACTGTTCACCAATTCACAGACATGCAGGCCCACACCTGAATGTCAAAGATACCAACCATCGAGTCTCGCCCAGATAAAACCCAAATGACTCACGAGTGGAACAAAAGAGCGGCGCGATATGATAATAGGGACACATGCAAACAAAATCGTAGGCGCCGGTTGAAGTAATGCTGCTATCGTTCAAAGAGTGCAGTCGATTCGAATTCAAGCCGCTCGCGTCCCGACGCCAGTTCGATTTTACTTTGCCTACAAACAAAAAACACCAAAACCTGCAGGTTAATTAGAAAATTCCTGAGAATCGGCCTTGCCGTGTGGAGTGAATGTGAATCAACTTTTTCTGGAATTTAGTGCTTTTTGGTGTGCACACTATGAGTGAAAATGGTGGATGAAATCGGCCCAAGAAACGATGGCGAGGAGGAAAGTGATATTGTGGGGGATGATTTACCGAGGAAACCATTTATCCGGGTAAGATACCCATTGATCGTACAAAGGATTAACAATTTTGTCGAGTTTTGTCGCCAAATTAAACCCTATTCTACGACGGTCTAAAAGTGTGAAAATTCAACAGTTTCAGCACAAAAAATGATCAGAAAGTTCGCCACTGTTGCTCTTCACGCTTTAAGGATGTCGTACAATCTCTGAAGATGTAAACGTGAAGACGACGAAACTCTATTCTACGACTACACAAAAGACTCACGACTTCCTGCGAAAGCCTAATTTTTTCATGAATTTTTTGCGCTGTTTGGAATGAGTAATTCTTCATAGTTCCTTCATATCAATCACGGCATATCCGTGAAGAGTCAAGGATTCGCAGTTTTTTCCTCTACAACGGCATCGATCATGCCTAAAAATATCTGCGAAATAAAACGCAGAACTGAAAAAAAAATGGTCTGTGAACCAGAGGAACCGTTTTATGCTAAACGGGGACAAAATGTTCAGGTACAACAATGGATGAAATGAAGTAATATTTAGATGAATAGATTGGAGCCGCAATTGAAATGGAGTCGACTATCATGGTCTATAGATGAATAATTGAAAATTGACCTAAAACTGCGACGAAGTAGTTGGCTCGAAGATTCACTGACTAGAAGCATGCTTTTGCTGTTTCCTAGCACATTGAATGATCTAATATCTACTGATTGTTCCTATGAAACTGACGCAACATTTGCGAGATCAAAGAGAATCGCATTGAAAAGTGAAAGTTGTCCATTTAAATGCTGCCAGAATGGGCACCTTCCTTAAAAAACGAACATTATCAACATACTCTCCTAATTAATACCAGTCTTGTAATACTTATTCGTTCAAGAAAAATTTCAGGTTTTTTTGAAAAGCTCCACAACCGGACCGATTAGCTTCAGCTCCCGAATTGACGAAGACAAGAGGTCGAAACGATTTCCTTATTGCCGCTTACTCTCAGTAAAGGCCTGCGGATAAAATATACAGAAACAGGAAATTTATTGGCATTTTACTGTTGCTTTCGATACAGAAAATGAGAAATACAAGTTCCTAATTCAATGTTTTGCGCTGGGGTGCGGTCATGCGACGCATTAAATTGCATGCTCTCAAATGTTGTTAATGAATGCGAAATTTCATTAATTTGCAGTTTGTTGTTCGTAGTAGAACTGTTATAAAATCAGGAATTATTAAAGCGGCATGTGATAATATAACAATAACAAAGAAACGGGCATTCAAAAAGAGAGAAAATTGAAGAATTTTTGTAAATACACACGCTCCTTTAAAATTGCGTAACTTCTAATCTTCAACAAGTAAGAACTTGAATTTTTCACCATTCATAGAAGACACTTCATTCTTTGACTCATGCAATTTTCCTTTAAATAGCATGGAGTTCTGAATTGGGCCTACTTTGAGAATTCTGCTCTGGTGAAAGATTTCATACAATCACCCGCGCTTATTTAAAAATTTCTAGTTTTTTATCCAGAGCAGACATCAACTCAAAACTTTAACATTTTGTAGCCGGTATGCGATTCTCCACTACCCGAAAATTTCATTGGAATCGCAACGAGTTCTGATTTTTTGCGACTGTGTGAACATTGATCTAAAAATGACTGGTTTAACACAAATACCCGCTCGCCTTAAAAAATCATAACTCTTCACTCAGGGCAAGTAAGAACTTGAAATTCTCACAGTGTATAGAAAAAACATCGTTCTAAAAAGCCTGCAAACTTCGTTCGAATCGCAATCAATTATGTTTTATGCTTTGCTATAAAATTTAATAATTTCACATAATAATGCACTCGTTCTAAAAAAAATCCAGACTTCTAATACAGAGCAAGTAGCAACGTGAACTTCTGAAATGCCATAGAAAATACTCGATTGCAAGAACTGCTAAAATTTGGTTTGCATACTGATGAGTTTTGATTTTTACCAACTATGAGAATATTGGTAAAAAAATGATGATTTTCCTAATAAACTGGGAGATTTTCTTAAAAAATTCGCCATTTCTCACTCAGAGCGAATGGATCCTTGAAAGCGGCACAATCAATTGAAAACACTTGATTCTCAAAATTGCCAGATTTTGATTGAAATTCTATTGAATCCTGATTTTTGCCTGCATTGTCTGTTCTAATGATAACTTTTGTACAATTACCCGCGCTTATTTAAAAATTCATTCATTTCGAATCTAGAGCACATGTTCACTTGAAACTTTCTGGAACTTTCTTTTTTTTGAAAATTGTATGCAAATCGAAACGAGTTCTGATTTTTTCCGAGTTAATGAATATTGGTCGAAAATGATTGATTTGAACCAAGACACGCGCGCTAAAAAAAATGATAACTCTTAATCCAGAGCCAGTAAAACCATCAAATCTTTACAGTTTATGGCCAAAACTTCATTCTTAACAGTGTGTAAATTCCATTAAAATTGCCGCAAATCAAGTTTTTTTGCGTTGATCTTGAACTTAATGATTTCACACAATTTCACGCTTTTTCTTAAAAAATGCTAACTTCTAATCCAAGACGATACGAAACTTTTTACAATTATGGAACATACTTTGTTCTAAAGACTTTGAAAAGAAATTTGGTTTGAATCGTAATGAGTGTTGATTTTGCCTGCGTTGTGAATTCTGTTGTAAGTAATGATAAATTTCCTAAAACTGCCCGCGCTTATTTAAAAATTCATCATTTCCAATCCAGAGCAAATATCAACTTGAAACTTTCACACAATGTAAAACACATTTGAGTCTCCAACACATGAAAATTGCATGCAAATCTAAAGGAGTTTCGATTGTTCCCGAGTTTGTGAATATTGGTGCAAAATGATTGATTTGAACCAAGACGCGCCAGTTTTAAAAAATTGTAACTCTTAATCCTGAACCAGTAGAACCATGAAATTTTCACAGCTTAAAGCTAACACTTCATTCTTAAAAGTGTGCAAATTTCATTCAAATTGATCAATCAATTCTGCGTCCTGCTTGAAAATTCCCAGCTGCGACTCGGGAGCAAACTTTAATTCGGCTGCTTTGCAGAGAAAAAATTGCAAAATTCCCAAAGAAGAAACTCTTCAAAACTATTTGGAACAAAATAGTATGAACTTGAAACGCGCTTAATATTTAGATCCCTGATTATTCTCTCCACTCTTATGAATGCCGACTTTCCAAACAGCATTTACTGAATATAATAAATAATAAGTGTTTTTGTATGCACATACGAATAGGCCTTGCCTTGTAACCGAATGAGTGTTGCATTCCGATCTAAGACAAGTTTTCCACTATATGCGGCCATTGTTTAATAGATACCCGGCGAGATAACAAGACAAAAAACACCTACCTAGAGTTTGTAATTACGAAAACAGTTATGGCGGTATGCACGATTTGTTCATTTTATTAATATTGGTTTGAACATACCATTTTCATGATTGATAGTTTAATGGAAATTGCTTTGTCGAAAAAACATCATCATCTAATGAAAATCAGCCTTGCGTAGGTAGGTACAGCGCTCGATTCTTTGCTGCAGTGAACAGGCAAATTTGAGCAAAGGAAAACCGAAAAATCCAATACAAATGTATAAATAAGAGAAAGTATGTCATAGTTTTTTTTATATAATCCCGATGCTCTCAAGAGTCTCCGTAAATCTTCTTGCAGTTATATAAAGAGTGCATTACATCAACACGCTGTATCTTCAATTTCTAGCTGTCATTCCATTAGGAAATATCTGCATAAATCATGTATGGGCAAGTTTCCCATTGCGAAAACGATACATTACACCATGCAGACTCCAAGCTATTGAATCTACTCTAATTGCAATTGCTAATGGTCTGTTAAAATACAATATTAATTATTAAGCTTGCAACCTTGTGTAAATAGGTGGCAGCGCAATGAATATGTAAAAACTGTGCATATTAATGGCATTTTGCATAGTTGCAGTTTTTTCTAGTTTAATAGGAAAACATTCCTCTAAGCAAGCTTTGAAACCTTTACTTTATATTCGCTCGTGATCCAGGCTGTCTTTTAAAAAATTCCTTAAACATTACCTTCAATCACTACACCGTGACCTTATTGAAAGCTAATGACTTGATTGGATAGTATTCGTTTTCGGAACCAGTCTGACTAGACTAGAGAGATCYAKCAACATATTTTTATGTAGGTTAAGCAASTATCGATTGCTTAATTTACTCAATGGCTTGATAAAGGCAAATTCAGATAACTAAATGGGCCAATGAGCCAATACGAKAACAAGTAGTCTAGTTAKAAAGAGTTTTAAATTATTGAAACAGTTGAAATTCAGAATTTTTGTTTGATGCYCATAAAGCTTTGAYCGTAAGCTCTGTAAAACAGGKTGAACAAAAGGTCTTTTGATTTTTGCATCAAATTTTCCACTCATTTTACTGCAGCAAATAGTTGCGTAATGATTGAAATGGTTTTCGGGGCAAAAMAATTCCTGGAAAATCACTGAAAGTRCARATCGCGATTAAACTACCAGKAATTACAGAGCAGGGTTTGCTCTATCGAGCGGCCGAAGAAGCATGTTTCTGCCGAGTCTCGATTCTGAGAAATAAATTTTTCAATAATCGTCTGCAGAATGGATTCGGGTTAAACGACAACAAAGTTTTGAAAATTTCTGGAAAATAAGTCTAATCACTGATCGCAATTAAATTTCCAGGGATTATAGAGCAGAGTTTGCTCTATCAAGAGGTGGAAGGAGCGAGTCGCTGGTCAATCCTGTTTCTGAGACACGATTTTTTGAAAAATTGTCTTCAGACTGGATTCGCTTAAGATGACAATCAAGTTTCTAGAAAATTCCTAGAAAATGACTATTATCGAGCAACGTCTGCTCTATTAACATGATCATAGAGCCAGTTTCCAGTAAATTGCGTTTCTGAGAAATTAATTTTTGAAAAATGGTCTGCAGAATGCATCCGCATTAACCGACTACCAACTTCCTAAGAAAATGCCTCAAAAAATCTGAAACTACTGTTCGGGATAAAGCCTTTAGCGAGTATAGAGCAA